TCACTTTCGTGATCTATTTCTTTAGACACAGAAAAAGAGAACATTCCATCAACATCTTTTATCTTATTTCTGATCCATAACTTTTTATCTTGGGCGTAGTTAATGAAAATCTCATACTTTTATGTTCCCTCCTCGTCATCCGGATCCTTATCTTTATTTGGTTCTTCTTAAACCTTTTCATCTATGCCTTCTTTCAGACATCTTTCAGTATCAGGTTCTTCTAGAACCTTCTCTTTTTGCTCAACCAATTTCTTTTTCTTTCGGAGATTTTTATCTTTAGAACCCACAGGTCTCCCCCTCTTTAACTGAACTCTAAGCTCATTCATTGTATCTCCATCAGTGTGTTCTTTAGGAACAACAACTCGTGATGGGACATTTTCAGCGGGTATATATGATTTCGTCACCCTTCTCGTATCTGTGAACGCATCTGGTAACTGGTTTGCCAAATTATGCAAATGCATAATTTCTGAACTTCCAGTTTTCTTTGATTCGTAGGGGGATCAAGGTGTAACAACGATGGTGTACACCAAGTAATCTCTTTAGGAATTTCTCTAATTCCTCCCCCTAACGCTGGAAATTCGTCCTCAATAAAATGGCAATCGGCAAATCGTGCAGTAAACATATCACCAGTTACTGGTTCCAGATATCTTATTATACTTGGTGACACATAACCCACATATACTCTCAATCTCCTTTGTGGGCCCATTTTTGTTCTTTTTGGCGGAGCTATCGGAACATAGACCGCACACCCAAAGACACAGAGATGGGATACATCAGGCTCATGCCCAGACGCCAATTGTAATGGGAAGTACTTATGATATGCACTCGGTCTTAGCCGAATTAGTGCATCCGCATGAAAAATAGCATGACCCCATACTGAAATTGAGAGCTTTTTCCTCAAGATCAACGGTCTTGCAATCAACTGCAACCGCTTTATTAATGACTCGGCCATGCCATTCTGTGTATGAACATGGGGCACTGGATGTTCTACATCAATCCCCACTGACATACAATAATCATCAAAGGTTTGCGATGTAAATTCACCAGTATTATCAAGCCTTACTTTTTTAATGGCATATCCTGAGAACTGCGTTCTCAGCCTTATTATTTGGGCAATGAACTTTGCGAAAGCCGTATTTCGTGTTGTCAAAAGACACACATTTGACCATCTACTAGATGCGTCAATCAATACCATGAAATACTTAAACGGCCCGCACGGTGGGTGGATCGGCCCACATATATCACCATGTATTCTTTCTAAAAACATAGGTGATTCATTGCCTACTTTTGCTGGTGATGGCCGAGTTATAAGTTTTCCTTGAGAGCATGCTTTACATGTAAACTCGCCGTCTGCAAAATTCTTCCGTTTTTAAACGGATGGCCATTTGAATTTTGCACTATTTTTCTCATCATGACTGAGCCAGGATGTCCTAGCCTCTCATGCCAGATTTTAAAATGTATCAGTAAACTTCATGTTTACCATGGCATAAGACTCAGTCATGTGTATTCTTGTACAATATAGTCCAGAGGATAACATTTTTAACTCTTCCGATATATGTTTCCTCTCAGACTTAATGCAAAGAAATTCAATGCCATCTTTACACATAGTCTCAATATGGTATCCATTTCTTCGGATATCCTTGAAACTTAACAAGTTTCTATTAGACTCGGAGGAATATAATGCATTACTTATTTCAAATATCGTCCCCCTTGGCATTGAAAATTTCACTCTTCCAGAGCCCATTATAATCTTTGCATTACCAGATATTGTACTTACGCTTCCAGCGCAATCTTTTATTTTGAGACTGGAGAAATATTTCTTATCTTTGATTATCGTGTGCGTCGTAGCACTATCTGCCAAACACATATCTCCATCCATAGTCTCAAAGTTTGGCATTCTTTCTAAAAACATGTACTATTAAACTTATATCACATAACATAAAATATGCATTATTAAACAAGAAACATAATGTATATCTTACAAAAGATATAGATACTATAATACAGTAAACTTAGATCACATCGATTTTATATTACTCATCGATACTCTCTGGCTCAACCAGAAAGTCTGATACGTCGAGATGAGTATCATCATTTAAACCATGAAAGGGTGGCCCGGGTTCATCAGAGATGAAGTTTGTTTCACCTCCTTTTTCCTTTCTCTTTTGAGATTCTTTATACAGATCGGCTAAATGTTTTGGCGTAATGGCAAACATGTGCCCAATGCCCTTTCATACCGCATCTGTAACAAACTCCTATTTGCTTTTTATCATCCCGGCCCCTTTCACCTTTTTCATTTTCGTGGAAATATCTATTATTTCTTTTATCATATGGACGGAATCTTCTTCCTTGTCCTCTTCCACGACCATGATAACGGTTTCGACCGCGTCCACGACCTCGTCCTCTCGAATTATCATAACTGGATGATGCAACATTCGCTTCAGGGAATGGAGCATATCCAATGGGACGAGCCTGATGGTTTAAAGTCACGAGTTGATTATTCTCCTCCGCTACAAGGAGGACTTGCATCAACTCCGAGTAACGAGTATATCCACTCACCCGGTATTGTTGTTGCATGACTATATTTCCAGGATGGAACGTGGAGAGAGTTTTCTCGATCATATCATAATCACTTATTTTCTCTCCACATAACATCATCCTAGATGTAATTCCGAACATAGCGGAATTAAACTCACTAACACTTTTATAGTCCTGGAACCGGAGATGGATCCACTCGTGTTTAGCTTTCGGTAAGATCACATATTTCTGGTGATTGAACCTCTCTTTTAAAGATTGCCAGAGGTCCAAAGGATCCTCTTTCGTAATATATTCATCTTTTAAACCATCATGTATGTGGTGTCGTAAAAATATCATGGCTTTAGCCTTTTTCTCATCCGACACCGTTTTTGTATTATCGATGATTTCCAAAAGCCCGTTTCCTCTCAGGTGCATCTTTTCACCCACTACCCAGGTTATATAATTATTTCCCGTAATATCCAGGGCATTTATTTTGAGCTTTGTCAGATTCGACATGATAAATGTATTAATAGAATAATAATTTAAAATTATAATAAAGACGAGAATTTAAATGCATAATTTAAATGCAGAAATTAAAGGCCTAAAATAAAGGCATAAATTAAATTGCATAAATTGAAATCGCGGAAATTTAAAAGCATAAATAAAATTCGAGGCTTAGCCTTCCAAATGATCCGAAGAGACATAGTCTACCATGTTGATCACTTTTATCAAGGTTTGAGGAGACATAGTCTGCCATGTTAACATTTTCTTTTTATTCAAGGTCCGAGGAGACTTAGTCTACCATTTTTGACCTTTCATTTTTATTAAAGATCCGAGGTGACATAGTCATCCATTTTGATCTTTTTATTCACGGAGGCAAAGCCTATCACGGTTTCTCTGATCGTGACGGCATAGCCATCTTATCGATCAGTCGGGGAAGGCAACGCCTATCATCCCCAAAAATAAACGGAGAAGGCCTAGCCTCTTACTCCGAAACAATAATAAAATTAAGATAATTAAAATTATTGAAAAACATAAATTAAACCTCACATTCGCAGTATAACTTTGTTTAGAAATTGGTACAGAGCTTCGTGTTGATAACGTGTTGTGAATTATAAGCTCAAGAGATAAGAACAGATTTATTTATTATTTATATTATATATAAGTGGATGTTGGCAAGAGAGGGAGAGAGAGCAAATGGTGATCTTGATTATTTATGTATGTGTGTGAATAAACGAGAGAGAGATAAAGATGTGACAAACTTTCTATATGACTTCTTTCACGTACATGTACTCTATTTATAGTACAAAATTTTTGCATACTCATCATCTCATTAAAGGAAATACTGATATGTGTTGCTGATGATGATAGAGTAAGAATAAGACATGTGTCTTTTTGATGACTAATCACTATTCTAACAATGTGATTGTAGTCAAGAAAAAAATATATGTGCTTTTTTTGCCGGAGAAAACAAGAGTGGGAAAAAGAAAGAGAGAACAAAATAATGTTTCTGAATAAATTATTTTCAGAAAATCCTTGCTTCCCAACCAAACAAGTAATAGGGTTATCAGTGTCTTTTACATCTATTAGTAGTTGGATCCCACCACTATTTTCCATCCATGCAAACTTTAAGATAGTAATTTAGTAAAAATCGCTCATAAAATAATGTATAAATGATAATAAAGCTTTTGAATCGTAAAAAAATTCCTCAGCTAAGTTTTCATGATTATCAACTTTCAACTCATAAACTATTAACATATCTCAACATATATCACAGTATTTTAGATGGAAGGTAACATAGATTAACGAAATTAAAGTTGAGAATTTATTTCGTATGATTTTTAATTGTGAGTTTATTTTATAATTCGTTTTAAGTTGAGGGGTTTAATTACTAAAACCCCCATTTGTTTATTTTTTATTTCACTATATATTTTTTAGAAAGATATTTAATTTTGTTTTTTCATTTTTATATTGTATATTTACTTATTTTTTATATTGTATATTTAGATATTCTAATTTTCTTGCTTTTAATACTTTTATTTTTTATTATATATTTACTTATTTCTTCTATTATATATTTAGTTATTCTAATATTAAGATAGATGTTTAATTTAATATTTATAATTTTCATACTGTATATTTACTTATTATTTATTTTATCTTATATAGTATATTTACCTTTTTGCTTTTTTTTTTTAAGTAACAATGTCAAGTGTCTTCCTTTGGAATAAGAACTTTATACTGATATGAACACTTTTTTGAACCTCAAATAGTCCACTTTATTAGTATAGATATGATTAGAGCTTTTTTTTTATAACAATTATAAGAGTTTGTTTATGTGATGGTGTGCCCTTCAATAATTGACTTTATGTAATCGTTTAGTGTTTTAATGTCATAAACAAATGATTGAAGATACGATATTGAGATTTAGTGGTTATCATCGTCATTGTGCAGATTATAAAATTGAATTTCATTGGGAAAAGAAGATAGCAGCGGAATTGATTAGTATTCTATTCTTTGTACCATTTGTTGTTTATATTATTATAAATATGTTGTAAGGTTTCAGCTTTGATCTTGCTTTGTTTCAGATCATTTGTTTGTAGTCGTAGAGAGAGATTAAAAACAATGGCAGATGTGACTGTAATTTCTTCAAGCATTGTTCGACCCCAAAACATTAACCAATGTAGTCGAACAAAGATCCATCTCACTCCATTTGATCTTAACCTTCTTTACGTTGATTATCCTCAAAGAGGTCTTCTCTTTCACAAACCCGACCCGGAAACCCATTTCATCTCTCGGTTAAAAACATCTCTTTCAACTGCCTTAGAGATCTACTTCCCCTTCTCCGGTCGTCTTGTCAAAGTTGAGAATCTTGACGACAACACGGTGTCGTTTTACATCGACTGTGACGAGCACGGCTCCTCCGGTGCCAAGTTCGTCCATGCCGAATCCAAATCTTTATCGGGGAGCGACATTCTTCAGCCTCATGGCTCTGTTCCACATTTCATGAGTCATTTCTTCCCATCTGTCGGCGTTAAAAGCATCAACGGCCTCACGGAGCCCTTACTTGCGTTGCAAGTCACCGAGATGAAAGATGGTGTGTTCATCAGTTTCGGTTATAATCACATGGTCGCTGATGGAGCTTCCATTTGGAGTTTCTTTAATACTTGGTCCAAGATTTGCTCGGCTGGTTATGATAATGATCATTATAGCCCTCTTAAACTCAGAGGATGGTTCCTTGACGGGGTCAGTTTCCCGATACGTATTCCAGCTTCAGAGACGGTGGTGGCCTCTTTTCCAAGCCAAGAAACTTATTTTCCTGCAGCTATGAACCAGAGGGTTTTTCACTTCACAAAGAGGAATCTTTCATATCTCAAAACTAAAGCCAACAACGAGGGTGGCTCTAGCGATCTGGTTATCTCGTCCTTACAAGCGCTTTCGGCACATTTATGGAGGTCCATAGTCAGACACTGTGGTATGAGCCGAGAAGAAGAAACACATTGCAAATTAGCGGTTGATTTTAGGCAAAGGTTAAACCCTCCGCTTGAGAAAGAGTGTTTTGGAAATGCGATCCTTCTCGGGGTAGCTACGGTCACAGTTGGGGAACTGCTGGATCATCAGATGGGTTGGGCTGCTTTGCAATTAAATAAAATGGTGCGCTCACAAACGGATGAAAAGTTCAAAAGTTTTGCAAAGAATTGGGTCAGAAACGTTAAGATACCAAAAAAGGGTGGTGGGAGTCCAATGGAATTTGATTCTGTGGTTATGTCGAGCTCTCCTTGGTTTGATGTGTATGGAAACGATTTCGGTTGGGGCAAGCCGATTGCAGCTAGAGCTGGACCCGGGAATAGTACGAGAGGTAAGCTTGTACTTTTCCAGGGGATTGAACAAGGAAGCATTGATGTTCATGCGACCTTATGGTCTCATGTGCTTGTGAAGTTATTGGCTGATCTTGAATTTTTGGAGAATGTCACCATTACTTGTTTGTAATTGTAAATAAAGTTTACTCTTTTGCCCTAACGAAGCTTAGGTGCTGCTTGTAAGATGTTCAAAAAGACTTGTTTCATTATCAATTGAACACTATAGAGTCTTAAGAGGTAGATAATCTCTCGCTTAACTCTCTTGATCCCATGTTCCTATCTTACTTTTAATTTATAGTTGAGCCATTAAGAACAAATTCTTTTGAAAACCAAATAATATTCTTGATTCAAGAATCTGTGTGGCAACCTTCGTTGTTGAGAATCGAGAATTACACTCTGTCTTGTTTTCATTGAGATGGAAAAACGAATCATACTCCATCAGTGCCACCTCGTTCTTTAAGCGTTAAAAACGAAGTAGTGAACCATTGCTTCCAAGCTGCATCCTTCTGTTGGTCGACCCACGAGAGAAAAGCGCTGTCTATAAGGCAAAAGATGTTGACGTAGAGAAGCTGGTACTGCACGGGAACGTATCTGAAGTTTGCGATCTGAAGAAGCGGCCACGCTCCTCCTTCAAGAGCTAGAGCCGGAAGAAAATCCCTCTTGAGTCCTTCCTTCACTTCAGATGTGTTCTTGCCTGTGGCGTATCCCATGTAAGTGAAGAAGACTAGTAGATCTATGGGGCCGAAGATAAGACCATCCATTGCCACTTTGGCTGCTACAAAACGTGTTGACTTTGGTACATATCGGAGCTTCAGTTTTATGAATTTGTCCAAGCCTTCGTACCTGTAGAACCGCAAAATATAACACTGTTAGGGTTCACCTGGATCAGGTGAACATGAAGATATTGGATTTTGCAGTGGAAATACAAAAGTTGGAACTAAATGATCTGAGATAAAGAGGGAAACAAACCAGAAATGGCCAACAGGTCCAACAAAACCAAGCCCAAACATGCTAGTGATAGCTACTCGCTTCCAGTTGACCTTGAATTCTGCATTTTTGTCTGCCTCTTTATCCTTGTTGTCCTGTTATATGGAACATAGATTAGTGCTCAACCTCGATATATAGCCAAATGGCAGAACAATATAATTCAATAGATCTCTTCATCCGGCAAAACCTATATATATATATATATCGGGCATCTATGTCAACACCTTTGTTATACTGCGGAACATAGTTTATTGCTTGCACCAAGATTGGCCAAAAAGGACCTTAAAACAATAGTCTTCCTCCAACAACTTAAGGACCTTAGAGGCAAATGGAAGTAAAAAGGTGATAGTTATCAAAATCACAAAGAAAGTTAGGAAATGACTCTAGTGGCTTCTAAAGGCTATTTTGCAGAAAAAGAACATCTCAATATTCCATAAAAGCAACAATAAAGTCTGTATAGCAGGATGAACATTTACTAGTAGTAATGGACCCAAAAAGTGAGTTGTGATGCAATTTTAGGGTAGGAAGTAGTACACTAACAACATGAAGAGTGAAAACAAAAACACATTGGTTCCGTAATTTATCTTGTAAGTATTTCTATCCACAAAAGACTCTCTCCTCAACTGATACAGCTTGCAAAAAGAAGAAACACATCTTGATAGTTGGAAGACGCCACTAGGCATGTTAGAGTGTGTGATAGAAAATGCGCAAGTAAGGTAGCATTAACGGGCTATTGTTCAAGTAAGGTAACATAACCCAATGTCTCTTTATACATGACGTGAAATACCTAAGGCTAACAGAGAACTGATGATGGAAAAAGCTAAAGGAACAAAACAATTCTTGAAGCATTTTATTGGATATCGAAGAGAACTCCAGAAACGGAGCTTCATGAATCAATACGCATGTCTGTCAAGGCATTACTCAATTCAAAGATCCCTAGATGCAGATTAAAGCGGAAAATTTCAAGAAATCGAAACTAATACTAGTAAAAATACGCACCAAAAAGAACAATGAATCGGAGAGAATCGTAATTAGAAAGTTCAATCGAGGAGAGAAAGGGAGATCGAGAATGACTTAACAGTGAGGCGAAGAAGAGGAGGAGGAGGTTTGGCAGTGGAATGAGTGATGTATTGAGCGGTGACATCGCCAAATCCCCAAAGAAAGCCGGAGCTGATGACCTGCGTTTTCACTGGATGAACCGTCAGGCATCGCTGGTACCATCTCCAAAGCTTTATCATCGTATTCGCCGTCGCCGCCGCGGGAGAAGGAGTTATATATATTGGTTGACACAGCTTTTTAAGCTCTTCTTCCTAAACTAAACCGTCTTCTTCGCTTTAATCCTTTCTTCATTCGTTTTTTGTGTTCCAGTCAACATTCAGATATAGGTCTTTTTAGCGATACAGAATACTTATTACATGGGCCTCAGCCCATCAACGCTAAAACTATATTGATTTGGAACAATAAACCTAACTACATAGAACTACTACATATAGATATGATATGAACCTGCAACGGATTTTGTTTGATGTTTTAATTTAATAAAGAACATACAAAATAATCATTTTATTATAGTTTAAAAATATTTTTGCATATGTTGTGTGAGCTTGGTTTGAATTGAGAATGCATTTTCACACATAAGTTCTAATTAATATTTATATTTTATCTCTATTTATCAACTTTATATTTAAGGCTAGATAGAACACTCTTACCAACAAATTTGAACCAAACTCAACCCAAAGTAAAAATTAGAATGAAAACAAAATTTGGAAGCTAAATAAATCCAAATATTTTTCTTCAAGATTTTTTTTATTAAAAATTCTTGTATTTGGAGGATTCTATAATTCGTTTTTGTTTACGATTTATATATAACAATATTTCAACAGAAAGTGTATGTTTAATTAATTATATACGAAAAAATATTTTAATTTTAATAATATTTTCCTTTTTAAAATCTATTTTAAATCTTAAACAAAAGAGAACTATATCACATTTGTGACACATGTCATAATCTTAAAAAAATTATTGACACATGTACAAATCATGTTAATTAGTAAATTTGAAGAACCAAACTTTAAATAATAAGAATATATCCGTTATCTATTCTAATAAAAAGGAAACTCGTTTTTAAAAAAAATATTTATCTATAATATTAATTACAATGACATGCCACTCATATATTTTTCATAATAAATTAAATTAACATTGCCTAAAACATTCTAACTTAATAAAATAATATTCCTAAATAAAATCTAACCGGATTATTCATTAGTCATAAAATCTCTCAGCAACAACCGATTTATTCATCAATTAAACAAACGAGTAGCAAGTCACACAAGAAATCAAGATATCACATCTACGTATGAAATATAATATACTGTTTTTATTAAAAAAAATAGGTCCTATATTCTTTTATTTAAGAAAAAAATTTGTTACTCGTGTATAATCATTACTTATGTTATGACTAATAACATCATAAAACCAAATTTATATCTACGGATATCATAGTCACTTTATCTTACTAAAATATGCTTTTTAAAAATTGAAACAAATATTTTAACAGAATGAGTTTCAATTTTTCATGTCTAATAATTAGTTATAGTTACACTATATGTACATAGGTGTTATATTTTATTTTTATTTGTATCACATTTCATTTTACTCAATTAGATGAATTATTTGAAACTGAAGAAATATCTACTACTTCGAATACTTATATATTCATTCAGATCATATTTTAATTGTTATAAATAAAATAATGAAAATAGCCTCCTGCATATTAATTCTAAGATTACATTTCAATAAAAATATTTAAAATATATTTTAATATATATATATATATTGTTATATTTTTCTATCATAAAATTAAGTAAATTTATGATTTTAAAAAGTACAAGACTCACTAAGCCAACCTTTAACATAATTTTCAAATATATATATATATATATATATATATATATATATATATATATATATATATATATATATATATATATATATATATATATATATATATATATATTAAGTTGATTAAGAAGAGAGTGCAAAAACCATGAATTATATTATTTGAATTTAAATTCTTAAAATAAAATCAATGTAAATAATTTTAAATAAATAAACTACTTATAATATAGGGCTATTAGCAAAATTGACCCAAAACACAAAGTCAACTACAAAACTAACCTATGACTTTTTTGGATTTTTGTTTTCCCAGATTCACCCCACAAGTTCACATTATTTATGAAAATGCCATTAGTTTTTTTTTCCGAAAATGTATTACTCTCTCAACCTCATCATCTTGTCATTGCCATCAATACACCAATCACCATGAACAACCAATTTGAAGCTCTTAATGTACCTCAAATCGATTTACACTTCTTCTTTCTCAATTCGTATGAACTAAAAACAACATCTCTTTCACTTTCTCTCCATATTCATCAAAAAAAACCCAAGATTTTGATTCTAATTTTTTTTATGTTTCATAGAGCCATTGAAGCTTACGACTCTTGGTGGGTCACTTTTGTTTGAGATTCTGGGTGCTTGGAGAAGACTTCTGTGTGCTAAACAAGTTACCTCACTGGTTGAAATTATGAAATAAAAAAAATTGCCAGATCTGTTCGTCCAGATGACTTTATTTGGAAGTCGTCTGGTCAATGTAAAAGTTAGTTTTGCAATTGACTTTTAATTTCCTTTTCTAGATGACTTACATGTAAGTCTTCCACCTTTGTTTGAGAAAAAAAACTCGAGACTACTTACATGTAAGTCGTATAGGAAAAACGGGTTAGTTTTGCATTTGACCGGAATGTTTCAGAAATTTGACTTTATCTGGACGACTTACGTGTAATTCGTCTAGTAAAAAATTTAAAAAAATAATATTTTGTTTTTTCTAGATGACTTATATGTAAGTCGTCTCAAGTTATTTTTGCAATTGAAATATTAAACAAATTTTTTTTTACTAGATGACTTACACTAAAATCGTCTAGCAAAAGTCAAATTTGTTGCTTATCTTGCTTAAACCTTGCTTATCTTGGACGACTTACATGTAAGTCGTTTGGGAAAATTTGTTTAATATTTCAATTGAAAAACTAACCTGAGAAGACTTACATGTAAGTTGTCTATAAAACATAAAGTATTAATTTTTAATTTCTACTAGACGACTTACATGTAAGTCGTCCAGGAAAAGTCAAATTTCTGACACATTCGAGTCAAATGTAAAACTAACCCATTTTTCCTAAACGACTTACATGGACGACTTCAAGGTAGTCGTCTGCGTCAATGTTTAATAAAATTTCATTTTCTCTAAGACTATAAGTTGTTTTTAATATTTTCTTGTTAGTTCATGTATATTAGTCAATATTAGAGTTACTGAATGAAATTTATAACTTAATTGGTGATATTTATGAGGTTACCAACTTTCATTTTAATATTTTGAGCTAATAAGAGAAGACTTCATACAAAGTAGTCTAGAAGACTTCATACAAAGTCGTCTAGAAGACTTCATACAAAGTCGTCTAGAAGACTTCTCGGGAAGTCATCTAGAAGACTTCGTGGGAAGTCTCTACGTTAATTGTTGTAAAATTTGTATTTTTCAAGAGTGATAAGTATCAAGATATATTTTTTAACTTTCAAAAATACTAAGTAACTTCAAGAATATCAAGTTATGTGATTTAGTGTCTTCTATGTTAGTTTTTGAATTTGTGAAATGTTTGATCTTTTGTAAATTTTACTAAGTTTTCTTGACTAAGTAGAGTGATAAAAATATTTCTTGGTATGAATCGAAACAAATAATGTCTTCAGACAGTTAACTAATGTTATCATGCAAAAGAAATGAATATGGTAAAAAAAACTAAAAAAGATCTCATCTTATATACCAAATGAGACTTGTTACAATCAAGCATAAGCATTTGACCATAAACAAAGTTAATTATCATTTTATTTCACTTCTTAAACATATCAACAGCAAGTTGTATCTACATCCCACATACAAAGTTTAATAATCAGCTCAAGAAAAGATCTTATGTTTTGTTTGTGTCTTTGTTTCAATACAAATTTTGGTCCATTCATTATCTTCACACTGAAACATTCACACAATCCATCACACGTTCTTCCTCCTTATACCTACAAAAAAACGACCCTTCCCAAAGAAAGAGAGGGAACAAGTTGAGAGAACTAGGGTTTTTTTTAAGAATTAAGATTAATGATTTATTTTTTTTAGATTTTTAGTTTTAGTTTAGTAAAAAAATATTAATATGTAAAATTTCAAGTTTATTCTTTTATTTTTTAGAATAAAATAATACTTAAGTGGAAAATAAAAATTTTCTAAATTTTAGGTGGGAATATTAGGATGACTTACATGTAAGTTGTATGGTTTAAATTATTCACCAGACGACTGCATGTAAGTCGTGTAGCATGACAATTTCTCAAGATTGGATAAGATTCTGGTACGCATGATATTTCAGATGTGTGTCTATCATATTTGGCGAAAAATGAATGCGCGTAGACATGGGAAATTTTGGATATCAGTGGAGCAACTTGCTCATCAGATTGACAAGGTAATGAGGAAAAGAATCACATCTTTGGGATATCGGTTTGGAAACAAATTGGAAGGGCTTCTAAGGCGTTGGTCTGAGATCACGGGGTGATAATTTTTTGATCATCTTAATACATCACAGTTATATTCTTATGGATAGTAGGCAGCTAGAGACACCTTTTAATTTATTTTAGTTGTAAATGCCTATTCTTTACATGATCAATAAATTTGAAATTTCAGTTGTAAATGCCTATTCTTTACATGATCAATAAATTTGAAATTTCATCAAAAAAGTCGTGTAGAGCCTAAACATAACTCCTAAACGAAATTAACTAACTAAACACTTCACAAAATCAAATTAAACTTAAAATATGTTTATTGTACACATAAATAAAAAAATATAGGTAAAAATAAAAATATTCAAAAAAACATTTGAGATTTTCAGTTTTATTTTAGTAAACAATTATTATTATGTAAAATTTTGTTTTTTTTGAATAAAATAATATTTAAGCGGGAAAATAAAATTTTCTTAAATTTTAGGCGGGAATATTAGACGACTTATATGTAAGTCGCATGGTTTATAACTTTCACCAAACGACATACATGTAAGTCGTCATCCGGATGACTTCCTGGAAGTTGTCTGGAAGACTTCCTGAAAGTCTTCTAGCACATTATATTTCAGAAGTCTTCCAGATCTGATAAACCTGCATATTCAAATCCAGATCTGAAAAACCTACATATCCAAAATGTTCAAATGGCTTAAAAACAGAGAAAATGAGTGAAATATTAGATAAATCTACGTTTATAGAACACACAAAAATACATATCTAAAAT